GAAATAATCAATTTTCTTGGATTTATCAAAATGACCTACGTATGAAAGGTTATTTTGGACTAATTTTATGTCACGTTTAAAATAAATTTTTCTTGCAAAAGTACATTTCGGTGTCAAAAAACATTGCAAATGGGAAATTGATACCATACAAGAGTATAAATGTTATTTGGTTGAAATATTGGAATTTTTTTTATATTTCTAAATCACTATTTCGGAAATTAGTAGATAGAGTTTTGAAACGTATTTTTGTACAAATGAGCAAAAAAAAAAAAAAAAACACATTATATATTTTATTAGAATCGAAATAATGAGTTTTGGAAAATGCCTAAATTCTAATCGCTTTGGTTATTTTCATGTTTTTTCATGTCATTTTAAAGCATACCCTTAATAAAAGCTTTTAAATTTGTTGAAGAGATGTATTATTGCTTCATTTTCCAAATCGTAGATACATGTATAGTAGCAAAGTCGTTAATGCTTTGTAATTTTAAATCTTTAGAAAACAATACACTCCCATCCTTTTTCATCCATGTTGTTCATATTTAATGATCAACTTCTCAAATTTATATTCATTTAAATAAAACATCCAACGTGTTCAAATTTGGTCCGCTTTGTAGTGGACAAAGTCAAATACTCAAATCCTACCATGAACACCTCCATCCAATCTCCATCGAATCAAGATCTGATGCAACGACCAATGGATTTCGTGTCCAACTGTCCATATATCCAAACAACTCATCAAATGGATCTTCACTAAGGGAAATGATATGCGGTTTGACCATACTGTTTGCCAAGTAGGCAGGAGAACACCACCATGCTATACGGACTGCGGTATTGAATGCTCTCTCTCTCTCTCTCTCTCTCTCTCTCTCTCTCTCTCTCTCTCTCTCTCTCTCTCTCTCTCTCTCTCTCTCTCTCTCTCTCTCTCTCTCTCTCTCTCTCTCTCTCTCTCTCTCTCTCTCGTATGTGACAAAGAACCATATTTTGTATGATATAAATGATGTAGCAACTATGTTCAAGGAGTGTAGTTCTTATGGCACAATTCCCTCCAATCTAAAAGCTCCAATCTTGATATTTCACATGCATAACAAACACTTTTTTTTCTCAAAATAAATAAAACAAATATTCTAAAAGGCCAAAAGGGTGCTCTTTCTTGACCGCAATTCCCTTGGTAAGTGCTTTGGGGTTGTTGGTTACTCTTCATTCTTCGTGACATTATTTCCAGGTTATCTAATTCTATGAAATTATTATTATTATTATTATTATTATTATACAATATATTAAAATTCTTTGGTCTTAGCTACAGGAAACTTAGGTTTTTTTTGGCAGATTTCGTCCTTCATTTATATTTGGCAGTTTATATCATTCTCTCCATTATTTGTCCATACGTTGTATCTACTTCTCAAATTTATATTCATTTAAACAAAACCATTGGACAGCTGAAGCAGTGGATTAATAATAATAATTTATAATATAATTTTTTTAGGGATCTGGGACTATGACAGAGGCAGCACAAAGCACACGCAATGTTGACCTGTCACCTGGTCAGTCATTATAATCAAAACAGTCGGTTAGGTTGGGTGTGATTAGCAGAAGAAACATATTTGACCTAGGTGCAGTTGGAGACAACCTTAGTGGGTTAGATGTGTCCCTGGGTGGGACCACGACCTACAATACAACCTCCAAATGCTTGAGTACGCCTTCTACAAACTCCCTGAACCGCGAGACTCAAAATGTGCCAAAAGCTACACTGGAGTACATATTATTACATCATACTTTTATTTTTTATAATAAAGTATTTAACTCTTTTACAGAGGCACCCTGCAGTGACCCGATAAGGCTATCCACAAGTGCAACCTCCAATTGTGAACAACCCAGCCTTTTGGGAATGTCTCGGATCCGACAACATTCCGACCGATACTTTATTTTTCGCATTTTATTATCAATAGGTATTTTATTTTTATATCAGTTGCAATTTTTATTTTAAATATTCTGAAATGTATGTGTGATTTTATGCAGAATGCTTATTAACAATAATATAACTGTGCAGAATGCTTATCAACAATATCTGCAAAGTTATAGCATTGTGTTTTCAATCTTTTTTTTCATTTAACCTAATAGACATGGTGTGCATTGTGTTTTAAATAACTATGCAGAATGCTTATCAACAATATCTGCACAGTTATAGCATTGTGTTTTCAATCTTTTTTTTTTTTTTTTTGCATTTAACCTAATAGACATGGTGTGGATATGTGAATACAAGTTCCTGAGGAGTCACAGCTACTGTTCAGGGCTTCTGTATCATCATTGGAGTGTTGTTATTTATCGGGATCAGATGATGGTAATATCGAGCATTAGACTGTATTTCGAAAATCATTAATGTGTATACTCATTTCCGGGATTGTAGGATCTCCCTATCTTAATAAAGAATGGATCACTGATCCAGAAACCATACGATATTAGAAACAAAGTCAAAACAGTTATCTGTACATCACATATGTAAACATGTACAACATATTCATGGTCCAGTTGCATGTATATGCAAATGTTGGACGAATTTATCTAGATTAAATAATTATTTTATGTCATTATTGTGCATATGGTTATGTATAGTCATTTTTTTGATAAGTAGATGTTCTTGATCAAAACCGAGCCCGCGGAGCGGGGCACCCCACCTAGTTATTATTATTATTATTATTATAACAATTTTAGGATCTTTGTACATGGCATTAATAAAGTCTTTACAGTCATGTTTTAGGTTTTGTGTGATTTTTTTAAACGAAAATTTATAAAGTCTGCAGACCATCTCTGCAACCCTCTGCAGTAGAAGAGGTGTGCCAAACGGCAGTAAACTGTAATAAGAAGCATGTGTGTTTTTTTAACATTTGCATACTGCTACAGATATTAAAAAATTAAAATAAAAAAATTTTATAAATCAAAAATAGTTTTTTAATACAGAAAATTTAATAAAGTATAACATGTCGGGAATAATTAATGATAATTAAGTAAAAAATAATGATATTTCAACAAAAAATATATATATATTTAGTAAAAAATAATGATATTTCATCAAAAAATATCATTATTCAATATAAAAAAAACGAAAAAAATTCAACAAGAATAAACAAAAAAAAACGAAAAAAATAAAATAAAATAAAATTTCAATAACATATAATAAAATTTTCAGCAAGAAAAAAAAATAAGAGGCTAGAAGAGGTAGTACAAGTGTTGCGCCAAACAGAGCACGCGCAGAGATTTTTGACTCTGAAGACTTCTAAAAAACAAACAACTGCAAGATGAAAAGTGTTGCACGTGTGCTGCGCCGCGCAACAATAAAAGGTCTAAAGAGATTTTTTTTCCAAAAAACAAACAACACCTTAGTTATTCTTTTTGTTTTCCTCTATTTTCCCTATTATCGATTTTATATAACCCTATTATCGATATTATATATAGTAATATCCATCTTTCTAATCAATTTTATATACAAGAAAGGTGGTAGACCCAAAAAAAATATATACAAATTGTGTTGTTATTAGGTGATTAGAGATCCGGTATGGATTACCTCCTTAAGAATTGGATTACCTGTATGTTTTTTTGGATCTAAATATCTATTAGTTAAATGCGAGAATTAAGAAAGTATTTTCGTCTTTATTGAGGTAAACGCAAGAAATTTATAAGTTTAACATTGTAATAGAAATATATAAACCCTTAAATGACATAATACCAAAAAAAAAAAAAAAAAAAAAAAAAAAAGGAAAGTGTGCATGTTGTTTTTTTGAAATTCCTCGTAGAAAAGGGAAATAATGGAAGTAGACAATACTCCATTTAATAGTTTATTGCGAGATGAACAATTAAACATTTAATTATGTTTGAGGCTTATTTTTGAATGTTTGTATTTAACTGCAAGGGTACGTTCACTATTTCAAATATTGGATGGTTATTTGGGATTTTAGCATTTGGGTCGGCTAAGAGGAGAGTTACACCATAGTTTAAGTTTTCTTCATTTAGGTTATATGGAGTGGTCACTACAAACTCACCGGAAAAGTGGCGCTACCTATACGCCACGTCCCTTCACCACCAACCCACTCCACTATGGAAATGGTGACCACTAACAACATTCACTTTTATATTATTTTTTTATTTTTTTACCATTTTGTTAAATAAATAAAATATTAAATAAATAACATATTTTATAAATAACATATTTTATATTAATTAAAACCATATTACATAATTTAAAACACAAAAAATTAAAACTAAAATACTAAAAAAACATAATCCATACTTAGAAAATTAAACCTAAATTCTTAAAAAACATCAAATCTAGTTGCGATATTGGTCGAGAACTTCTTGTTGAATTTGCATAAAGACCCTTATATTTTCCGGGTCGAGATTGGGTTGCAGCACTATGTTTACGATTTGAAGATTGGTGAGTGCCAATTGTCGCCGGCGTTGCTCCTCCGTTGAATCAAATTTTTTTTTCTAAAAAATTTAGAGTTTTTTCGATTTTCTCCGCTAACACGTCCTCGTTGGTTGATTTTCCGCTAGACGAAGCCCTCTTTCTCGCTTTGTCCCTACCCGGTGGTCAACGAAGATGGACGTCCGATGGACCCTCACCCTCGGTGGCGTCGAACTCATCATTGAGGTCGAGGTTAGCACCGATCTCCGACTCGGACGTTCTCGGCATTTTATTGGAACCGGTGGTAGATCCCGAATGCGCCGTTTTCGGATAAAGGACCCATTTTGGGCCATTGCGACAAACTTCCCACACTTTTTGGTTGCCAAAAGGTTTACCATTGTTGGTAATTTTGTATTGGTGCAACGCCGTTGACAAAATGTTGAAATCGTTGCTACCACTTCGATGCATATTTTTTAAATTGTCAAACACGCCGTTAAATTTGGTACACGTTGCTCTAAGATCGCGCCATTTATCATTGACTGAATCATATGTCCGGCTCGTTTGCCTTCCCAATAACGCGTGGAAGTGGTCTAAAATACGATTCCAAAAGCTATGTCCCGATTGCGCGTTGGCGACATCCCCGTCTTGTGATATGGCAATCCAAGCTTTAGCTAAAGTCGCCTCCTCCTCCTCGGTCCATTGGGTGTTTTTCTTCTTTGTTGAATCTTTGGATTTTTTTTGCCTTCTACGACTTGGTTGTGTTTCTTGAACCCGTTCGTCGTTGTCTTCATCGTCGAGGTTTACGGGTTGAGATTGCGATAATGGAACTTGAGAGGGTTGTGAACTTGGTTGTGGTTGTTGGAAAGTTTGGGGCTGAAAACGCGGAGGAGGTTGTTGTTGAAAGGGTTGAAATTGGGTTTGAACAAATTGTGGTTGTGGTTGGTTTTGGTAGTAGTGTGGATGGTATGAAAGATTGGTAAATAAAGGTTATTGTTGAACGGGGTATGATAACAATTGCATATAGCCAATGTTTGCTAAAGGATCATTTGGAGTATTTGGGATGTTTGGGGTGGGTGGGTTATTTTGGTTTGGATCCATAGAGGAAAGTGTATTTTTTGAATGAGAGTATGTTTGTTTGTGTTCAAAATGTGGTGTGTGTTTGAATGGTAATATATATGTTGATATATAGAGAGTTGGTAGTAATTAATTAATTAATTTTTTTTACAAATGGTAATAAAGCAACGGTCAAAAAGTGAATAGCCAATCAAATCAAACGTCTTCACCCGTCTTCAGCTCCACGGAACAAGACTCCCACCAGAAGGTGGGGCGGTGTTCACGCGTAAAGGAGCTGACACGTCAGCTCCCACGCGTCTTTTCCTTCCCACTCCTGATAGCCTTATGCCTGTTATGCGTGATTGATGGGATGTTACATAGCCCACACTTGGTAATCAAATTTTCAAAACCCAATGGAATTTTTATAAGAGTAATATATATGTTGTGTTCAAAATGTGTTGAATGGTAATATATATGTTGATATATAGAGAGTTGGTAGTAATTAATTAATTAATTTTTTTTTTTACAAATGGTAATAAAGCAACGGTCAAAAAGTGAATAGCCAATCAAATCAAACGTCTTCACCCGTCTTCAGCTCCACGGAACAAGACTCCCACCAGAAGGTGGGGCGGTGTTCACGCGTAAAGGGAGCTGACACGTCAGCTCCCACGCGTCTTTTCCTTCCCACTCCTGATAGCCTTATGCCTGTTATGCATGATTGATGGGATGTTACATAGCCTACACTTGGTAATCAAATTTTCAAAACCCAATGGAATTTTTATAAGAGTAAATTACTTAAATCGTCTTTGCGGTTTAGTTAAAATTGCACGTTTGGTCCATAATTTTTTTTTTGCACTCGGATCGTCCCTGTGGTTTGATTTTGTTGCGTTTTTCGTCCATGTGGTTTAATTTTGTTGCATTTTTCGTCTCTTACATACATAAAGTTAGGAACCAAACGTGCAACTTTTGCCAAACCATAGGGACGAAAAACATAACAAAATCAAACTACATGGACAATCCGAGTGCAAAAAAAAAAATTAGGGACCAAACGTACAATTTTGATTAAACCACAGGGACGATTTCAGTAATTTACTATTTTTATAAAAAGTACAATGGTTTTCATTATAACTTGGAAAATACACTACATAGATTTTTGCAATTAGTTCACGTATTATATTGATACTATATATTTCATTCAAACAAAATTTCAGATAATTTTGTGAGATTTTACTTATTTCCATGATAATCCATTTCAATCAAGCATATAATTTGTTATTTTTTTGTTAGGGTAAATAACAAAAAAACATTCTGTTTACACTAAAATTCTAATTTGATAGTGTGTGTTTTTTTTTTGTGTGTCTCAAATTTGATACTGTGTTTTTCAATTTGTTATAATTCTGACCACTTGACCGGTCAATCAGGTTACATGCTGACGTGGTATGATGACGTGTCAGTTTTGATGACGTGGCATGCAGACATGATATGCTATCGTGTCAAAATTGAATTTTTTTTCTACAAAAATCACTAAGTTTTCACTTTTTTTCCGATTTTGATACTAAGTTTAATTTTTTCTTTCAATTTTGACACTATGTTTTTTTGTTTCAAATAAAACATCATTTATCAAATTTTGTTTAATTTTGATAATTTTCCATTTGAAACCGTATAAATATATTTTTTTTATTACATTTTAAACTGTATAAATATATTTTTTTCGTTTAAAAACCACATTTTTATTTAAATATAATGTATTTTTTTTTCATTCAAAGCATAATGTATAAATATGTATTAGTTGTATCATGAGAATCAAACTAACCATAAAATTGTCATGGGTTGCAAACTTGACATCCGAGTTTTGATCGGTTACTGGTCTCCTAACCTCCAAACTCATTTTAAAGTTGTGTATGTAATATAAAATACGGTTTTTATATAACTAACACATCTATATACATAAAATTATGGTTTGAATGTAAAAAAACTTGTGTTTATACAAAACTATGGTTTTTAATTGAAAAAAAACATTTATACAGTTTAAATGTATTAAAAAAAATATT